TTAAATAACTTAGCGCCATATCACGAGGAAATAAGATACCGGGCTATAATGTAGAAGTCAATATTTATTTACTTAGCCATGTATTTTCTTGCTTTTTTTCATGCTTTCTGGTCTGTGTCTTTAAACCTTTTTTCTGCTTTGCTAAGATGAAATATTGCTTTTATAGTTTCTCTGTTTCGTCATCTATTCCTCTCTATTCATTCTCTTCTCTCTCTTCTGTCTCTATGCTGCTCTGCTGTTCGGCTCTCTGGACTCTCAGCCTAATCGAATTCTCTTAGTTACGATACATCACGTGCTATATCCTATAACTGTGGAAGTGCTGCATCAAGTGTTTTCACCTCATGGAATTGTTGAAAAGATCGTGACATTTCAGAAGTCGGCTGGTCAGCACCTTCAAGTTTTCTCTCTCTTTCTCTCTGTATATATATATATATATGTGTGTGTGTGTGTGTGTGTGTGTTCTAACTTCTTGTTTTGTTTTTCATTCCGGAGTTGAATACTGGATAGAATTTATGGAATTTGATCATGGAAGGAAGTCTCTGCCACTTCTTTGTTGTGTTATACGACTCTAATCTTGGATGTAACTCATTTGCTTTTTGCTTCAACTGTTTCGTGGAGCATATGTGAAATCCTAGTTATGAGACTTGCATTCTTTTTTCCATATCTGCATAATCTTTTATTGCTACTGATATTTGCTATGAACTTTGTAGGTTTTCAAGCTTTGATTCAGTACCAACTACCCCAGAATGCTGTTTCTGCTAGGAACTCTCTCCAGGTATGCTTTGTGTTACATAAAGTTGTCTTGTCCTGAGAGGATTATTTTGTGCTGCTTTATTTATCTTAGATGGTGAAGCTTAGTGCTTACAATTTTTTTAATAGGGGCGTAATATATATGATGGTTGCTGTCAGCTTGATGTACAATTCTCAAAGTAAGGTTTTAAATCCTTTTTAAATTTGCTGCTTTTGTGTTTGCATGGACATAATTGCATCTTTTCTCTTATATACTATGATGGGTATGTTTACCATGGCTTATTTTGTGATTCAGCCTAGATGAATTGCAAGTGAACTACAATAATGAACGCTCGAGGTAACTTGTTCATTGCTTTCTCTCTTTCCCTCTTATACATCTCGAAAATAGTTTTTATTCTTCAGTTTGTGGGGAAAATATTCATGTATTGCATTATCTATATGTGCAGGGACTTCACCAACCCAAATCTACCATCAGAACAGAAGGGCAAATCTCCTCAAGTAGTTTCCATTGTTTATTTTTCTTACTTTTTAGCAGGAATAAGAGTTTTCCAATATGGATTATGTTCAAGCTTTGTCATTGTGTAACAACAGGGATATGGAGATGCAGGAGGCATGTACTCCTTGCAAGGTTCCGGGCCTCGTGGAGGTGCTTAAGTTAACACTATTTTATTATGTTTATTGTGAAATTTTCTGATCTAGATATTCCTAACTGTTTTCTCCCTTTGTTTTTGTCCAGTTGGATTTCCTCAGGTGTGCATCTGACTCATCAAGTTTGAAGTATTTTAACATCTCTTGGTTATCTGCCTCTCTGCTGTCAGATCAGGCAGTTGAGTGTGAAATGGATGCTTTCTGTCTCTGCGTTTGTTTTTCTTGCCACTACATCATCTCTGTTTTTGCTATCAGTATTAGCTACTAAATGCAGCGGATTAGGATATTTGTATCTTTATTTTATCTTCAATTTTATTACTACATGGAAATTTTGAATGATCAATGCTGGTGAAGCTGTAGTTGCTGCTTCGCATGCTACATTAGCCACATCTTTTCCCGATGCTGTCTTGCTCGCTTTCTCATGTTTACACATAAATCTCCATATCGTTCTAAGTTGGTTTTTGCAATTATTGGAGTAGATGGGAAATGCTGCAACAATTGCAGCTGCCTTTCCTGGTGGTTTGCCTCCTGGCATAAGCGGGACAAATGACAGGTGTACTGTTATTGTATCTAATTTAAATCCAGATGTAAGATTCTCTCTTTTATTATTACCATGTTAGCCCTTTTATTTCCTCTTTTTATTCTTTTTCTGTTTTAATTAAATCCTAAGGTTTGTGGCTCCTCATCTTGATGTTTTTCTTCTGGTTGCTTTTCCCTTACAGAGAATAGACGAGGACAAGCTTTTTAATCTGTTCTCCATTTATGGAAACATCGTCAGAATTAAGCTCCTACGGAATAAACCAGATCATGCTCTGGTTCAGATGGGTGATGGTTTCCAGGCAGAGCTAGTTGTGCACTTCTTGAAGGTCTGAATGGTGATATCTGTATTTCCTTTTTTGGATTTTTGTTTGTTCTGCCTCATTGTGTTGTCAGCAACCTTGCTGCTGCCATATAACCTTCACACACAATTTTAAAATGGAAATAAGATACTAAAATCTAATTCAAGTATAAACTTAGCACCAACCTGCTGCCGCATAAGCTTTACTCAGAGTTTTAAAATGGAAACAAGATAAAATCTTATGTCAAATTAGCGTAGAAGACTGGTTTCTCTTAACAAATAAACCCATCATACTGAGCATGTTTCTACCTACCCAAAAAAAAAAAAAAATAGATGACTGGTGGCTCTTTGTTACTTGTGTTTCTCAATTTTTGTACTGAGGATGTTCCAGATTAATAAAAAATTAATTTACTTCAGTTGGTTGCCCTTTGTATGTCATGTTCATCTACTTTTTGTTTATAGGGATGTTCCTCTTCTGATCAATAAAATTATTTACTTCATCAATCAAACTTAAACATTTGCTGACTCCAAAAAGTAACTACCAATACAACTATACTTTTAAACCATGCATCTGATTACTGTATACTACCTCGTTTCTTATCAGATAAAATTTATAGTTTCTTAACAACCTGCAGTCCTTTTTTTCCTAGCTTGACTTTTAATGCGTGATATCCCTTGTATTCCCACAGGTGGCAGAGCCGGGACTTTCACCGGAGGGGGAGGGGGTCAAAATATAAAGAAGTAAACCCATGAAGAAGCCAAGGGTAGTCAATGTATAGTATACATATTAAAAAAAAAAACCTAGATACACAGTGTAATTTTCCGACCCCTTGAATACATATGGCTCGGCTTCCCACTAAGCATAGATTCTGAATTTCAGTGAGTTCAGATGGCATGAGTTTACACCCAGTAAAAGATGGTTAGTAGATTTATAGTAGTTGAGCAAGTTTGTTCTGTGCTTATTTTCAAATGCCTCTGATATATAGATCTTTCAACATATGATCTATTAATGCACCAAGTTTACCTTGTACCAAAGTCCATGCATATCTTTTGCTTCATTCAAGCATCTATCTATTTGCATTGTTGTTAATTTCTTATGGGATTTTGGATATAGGGTGCCATGTTATTTGGCACGCGGTTGGAAGTCAACTATTCAAAGCACCCAAATATTATCACTGGACCAGATACACATGACTACTCAAACTCAAATCTCAATCGTTTTAACCGGAATGCTGTCAAAAACTACCGGTATTGTTGCTCCCCTACCAAAATGATCCACCTGTCAAGCCTGCCCCAGGACGTGACGGAGGAAGAGATCGTGGCCCACATGGAGGAGCATGGTACCATTGTCGGTACAAAGCTTTTTGAAATGAATGGGAAGAAGCAGGCTCTTGTTCTTTTTGAAAATGAGGAGCAGGCAACTGAAGCATTGGTGTGCAAACATGCTACATCGCTTGGCGGCTCGATCATTCGGATTTCCTTTTCTCAGTTACAGAACATCTGAGATGCCTTCCTTGATGCAAATATTAAAGAATACTATGGTATTGTAGACTCAATATTGACAATTGAACACTGGCTTTAACTGTGGTTATAACTTCAGTTTCTTCTAATATTCTTCCTTTCCTCATCCATTATTGTACTTCTCTTTTCTTTGAGCTCAGGGTATATTGGGGAGATTGAAGAGTTTTGTACTAATAGGGTAGTCAAAATTCTGTAATAGAGGTGTTTTCTTCCTTCATTGCACATTACTTGCTGTCCATCTTCAATTCTTCTTCTATTTCTGATTAACTGAATTTTTCCTTTGGTCTTCCTATTCATCTTCCTCTATTGCTGAGTTCTTCTATTTTTTTTTTTTTTTTTTTTTTTTTTTGTGTGTATGTGTGATTAAACATTTGTCTCGGCTCTCTTGTATCATTTAAGTACAATTATCTTGAAGATACGTTTGTTGCACATAATTTTCCTTCAGTCTAATTTACATGTCTTCACATCATAGGTTATGTCATTCTACTTATTCCTTACCAATAATAATAAAAAACCTTTGATACCTACTAGTTGTGTCTCTCTCTACATTTTACATTTACATGGAAATTGTCTCTTAAGGCTATTTAACATCTGGATCAAAGGCGAGGGTTACAAGTAAGAGTCAGAGACCCCATTTCCTGATATATTATAGGTTGCTATTTCGGCAAGAGCTAGGTAGCAGCAAACTAACTATTAGCTCAGAATGTCTAAGTAATTCTAGTCGAAAGTAGTGAGTTCAGTTGATCTGGTTCAACGTGCTCTAGTCGATCCGATGGCGTTCCATGCATTAAGTATTCAAGTTTCTGAAATTTGGGGTCAAGAATCAAGCTTTAGATGCATGTCTAAACTCTAATGTAGAAAGAAACTCATTTGAAGATTCTTGGGTTTGACAAGAGAAGTCGAACGTGCATTTGAATATTGTGTAGTCGTCCACCTCTTTAGAAAAATGGATTTAACTTTGACAAGGATTCGACGTGGTCTACACGGATTTGTTAAATAATTGCAAAGAAATTCAGAATAGGAGATAAAGGAAAAAAATTATGTGATGATATATTGAGCATGAAGTTTAAAAAGGAAAGAAAAACTTTTGAAATTTTTGTGACTATAACCGTAAGAGTAAAATAAAAAATTTAGAATTAAATTAATATTAAATATATAAATGTATCATTATTTTTTCGACTGATTACAAAATAAAGTGAGATAAATTGGAATAAGGGAGAAATATTTATTTGTTAGATCAACTTCATTTTATTACCGTTTCGTTTCAATTTGACAAGCTTTAAATCTACGCCGATCTGGCAGTGTCACTCCCAACTATAATAACTACCAGGTAATCCCTAGGGTTTTTCAAAGCCAAACAAATCCCACATTTCCAAAATGTCATTTGATTCAACGCCGCCGGCGGTGGAGAAGCTCACCCTAAACGCCGCCACCGTAGATGAAGCCAAATTCTCCCAACGCGTCCCGATCCGTTCAATCATCGGCCGTCCTGACGGCGGAGCTGGACTCGCCGGAAATGTGGTCAAAATCGGCGGCTGGGTAAAAACAGGCCGAGAACAAGGCAAAGGTTCATTCGCGTTCCTCGAAGTGAACGACGGCTCTTGCCCGGCGAATCTCCAAGTAATCGTCGATGCTTCAGTTCACAAGCTCGGTGATTTGGTACTTACTGGTACTTGCGTACACGTTGAAGGTGAATTGAAGGTACCTCCTGAAGGCGCGAAGCAAAAAGTTGAACTTCATGTCCAGAAGGTTCTATCTGTCGGTACTGTTGATGCTGCCAAGTATCCATTGCCGAAAACTAAGTTAACGCTTGAGTTTTTAAGGGATTTTGTTCATCTTCGCCCCCGAACTAACACGGTATTTGTCTAATCTCATTTTTTTATTTTTTCTCCTCTCTTGATGTCCAATAATTTATTTAACAGGTGGATTATCGATTTCTAGGGATCCAGTTAGTGGACTCGGAGTATATTTGTTTATAAGAAAAAGTTTATACTATCAGGTTATCCGGAACATATCTACAGGTATCCTCTATATAAAGTGGAATTTGTAATTTGAAATAAGATAGATTATGTACTAAAACAGGTAAATGTGACATGATAGTGTAAAAATAATTATCGGCCTAGGTTGATATTAGTTGAACTCTTATCTAATTACTTTGTTTATATATGAATATGGTGGTATGCGACAAGCATTGTCCTTCCACTATTCCACTCCAATACATGGATAACTCTGTCTATAAGGTTAGACATATGGAAAGAAATAACCTAGTTTTTAGGTGGATTCGTCTCCCTTGGTTTCCACTCTAATTGTTAGGCCACAGCCTTGGATGCAATTCAGTTCACATATAAAAATGTTTTTGCGTAAAGAAGTGGTTTTGGTTGAACGTTCATGTCCTTCTTGGGTTTAGCACATGAACTTTTCCATTCAAACTGCCCCTTCCAGAATTTATCTCCAAGTGAGGTAGATTGTGGACTGTTCCCATTTTGCCAAACTTTTTGTTCAAACCTTGATTTTGCACTGTCAAAAATTTTCCATTCCACCAGTATCTTTTTGCTGATGGCACTGAATGGTGGATTATTTAGAGTATGTATGTAAATATATTTGATTGTAATCCAGCATTTTTCATTTTCAGATTTCTGCCATTGCAAGAATCCGTAATGCCTTAGCTTATGCCACCCATACATTCTTCCAGAAGAATGGGTTTCTTTATATCCACACTCCAATCGTCACAACAAGTGATTGTGAGGGTGCTGGTGAGATGTTCCAAGTTACTACTTTAATAAACGAAGCTGAAAAATTGGAGAAGGAGCTGAAAGAGAATCCTGCTCCTTCAGAATCTGAGATTAAAGCTGCTGAGCAACTTGTCAAAGAGAAAGGTGAGGCAGTTGCTCAGTTAAAAGCTAATAAGGCGAGCATTGAGAAAAGCGGTGCCAGTATTGTGGACATCAACAAGCAAATCAGTGCTGCAGTTGCTGAGCTGCAAAGAGCTAAAGAGAATCTACTGAAGTTGCAAGAGAGATTTAAACTGGGAGAAAGGTGTAGACTCTCTGCTGGTATTCCCAAAAAGGATGGAAAGGTTGATTACTCCGAGGATTTCTTTGCACGGCAAGCTTTCTTGACTGTGTCTGGCCAACTCCAAGTTGAAACCTATGCCTGTGCACTTTCTAGTGTGTATACTTTTGGACCAACTTTTCGAGCCGAACAGTCCCACACTTCTCGGCATCTTGCGGAGTTCTGGATGGTGGAGCCTGAAATAGCTTTTGCAGATCTCCAGGTATTCATGTAGTTATTGCATCATGATGTTATATAGAATATTTCTGGAGCAAAATGTTTGGACAGTTAATATTTAGCTACCAGAAGTTCCACTGAGACATGGAATAGATTTAAACTCTTGGTACTGGCAATTCTTGTTCATAGTGGTTGAGAGAGTCCTCTTCATGCCACTAGGTCAAGAGTTCGAGGCTGGTAGGCTGCCTTGACAAAAACATAGATTTAAACTCTTGGTCTCTTACATGATTAAATTTTGAGTTCAAATGTTAAATATGAGCTATACATGTATGGCAATGAAGCAGAGGTTATGTCAGATACTACGTGTAACACTCTCATAGAGTTTCTGAAGGGGTTCTTTTGGCTGGATTTCTTTAAGTTATTTCTTTCAATTAATCAAAATTTGTATTCCTTTGGCAGGATGATATGAATTGTGCTGAGGCATATGTGAAGTTTCTGTGTCAGTGGTTACTTGACCATTGCCTTGATGACATGGAATTTATAACTAAGTTTATAGATAAAGATGCTCTGAGTAGACTTAGAATGGTTGCCTCATCGAACTGTTACCGAATAACTTATACAGAAGCCATAGCCATTCTTGAGGTAGCAGCCAAAGTGAAGAAATTTGAAAATAAAGTAGAATGGGGTATTGACTTAGCATCTGAACATGAAAGGTACTCTTTGTCCGCTGTCTACTTGTTGGATCTGCTTTGTGTATTCCTACAGCTATTCTGATCCATGATTTGCCTCGAATTCCATTTGGTGGTCCATAGTTCATTCCCACGTAAACTGCTAAGGAAAAGGAAGATTTTAGATTCTGAAGTCGGACACTGAGAATTAAGACAAATCGAATTTCTCAAATTTTAAATACTTCAGTCCAGTAACCACTTAATATTTTTAGAATGTAAAGTAATAAGCACGGATTCGGTCACTAGATGACCGTATGAAATCAAAAACAATCTACATAATGCTGCACCAAGTCAACCACTAGTCTACTACAGTAATTTCCTGAACAGTACACCTGGTAGCTAGGGAAAACATCATTTAAGAGGCTGGATCATCATTATCTTAGAAAGCCCTATGAACATGAAACAAGCGTTGTTCCNCACCCACACACACACACACACAAATATCTAATCCTTTTTGTTTCTCAAACCTTTTTCTAATAATTTTCGGAAAAATCTTTTTCCTAATGTTGTCCAAATGGTATGGAGTTGCTATTTCTTGATTTCACTAGAATGTTGTACTTGAAGAAATGTAAATTTTTTGGTGCTAAACTGAATCAAGCACTGTTGCCTAACGGAATGAAGCCATGTTTTAGATATAGGGAAAAAGATTGTCTGTCTGACCAGGCTGCATGCCTTAAGCTTTACATGAGAGTTAGTTGGAGCCAAAAGATCAGCTCTGTTTTTTATA